GAATGAGACAGAGAGAGAGAGCATGAGAGGGGGGAGGAGAGGGAGAAGCAGACTCCCTGCTGAGCAGGGAGCCCGATGCGGGACTCGATCCAGGGACTCCAGGATCATGACCTGAGCCGAAGGCAGTCGCTTAACCAACTGAGCCACCCAGGCGCCCCTATTTTTATTTTTTTTTAAAGATTTTATTTATTTGAGAGAGAGAATGAGACAGAGAGAGAGAGCATGAGAGGGGGGAGGGTCAGAGGGAGAAGCAGACTCCCTGCTGAGCAGGGAGCCCGATGCGGGACTCGATTCAGGGACTCCAGGATCATGACCTGAGCCGAAGGCAGTCGCTTAACCAACTGAGCCACCCAGGCGCCCCTGTTTGAGGAGTTCTTATACTCAGCTGAAATTGTCTTTCCTGGAATTTTCAGTCTGACAGAAGGAGATCCAAAAGTACCTGGATTTGTCTCTTATTATCTTCCCTTCCCTCAACTTCCCTTTCCCTCTCTTCCCCTCATCTCTCCTCCCCTTGCCAAAAAACTGTTTTATTGTAGATTATTTTAGATGTATAGAAAAGTTGTCAAGATAGTATAGAGAGTTCTGTATATCCCTCACCTCATTGTGAAAATCTTACAGTACTGTAGTGTATTTGTCAAAACTAAGAAGCCAGTATTGGTACATTACTATTGACTATAAACTCCAGACTTTAGTCTGATTTTACTAGTCTCCCCCACCCTGCCCCCCATGCTCTTTCTCTGTTTCCAGATCCCATCTAGGATCCCATCACATTTTGTCATTAGTCTCATCTGGTGTGTGATAGTTTTTTAGTCTTTCCTTGTTTTTCATGACTTGACAGTTTTGAGGAATACTAGTTAGGCATTTTGTAGAATGTTCCTTAATTAGGATTTATCTGTTGTTGTTTTTGTTGTGCAGTTATGGGTTTGGGAGAAAAATACCGCAAAAGTGAAGTGCCATTCTCATCACATCATATTAGGGACACATGATATCATTTGCCTTATCACTGGTGATGTTAACCTTGATCTTCTAAGGTAAAGTTCTCCTCCCTCCTCTTTCCATACACAATTTTTTAGAAGCAAGTCATTATGTGCAGCCCACACTCAAGAGGTGGGGGGATTAAGCTCTAACCCCTGGAGGGGGCAGTGTCTACATAAGTTATTTGGAATTCTTCTGTAAGGAACATTTATCTCTTCTCCTACATTTATTTATTTATTTATTTTATTTATTTATATTTATTTATATTTATTTATGCAATCACTTATTTAGATCAGTATGGAGTGAAGCACATTTTTTTGTATTTGGGGTTATAATCCATTACTACTTTATTTTCTTACCCAAATTGCTTCAGCTTTGGCCACTGGGAGGCCTTCCAGTTGTCTCTTGTGTCCTTTTGACATGCCCCATCCCTTTGTTTTTTTAAGGACTTCCTTACTTTCTGGCACAAGAAGATCTTCCAAGTTCTTCTTGTATTTTCCCCTGCCCCATCCCTTGAATCAGCCATTTCTCTGAGGATCCCTGATTCCTTTTATTTGAGAATGATATTACATACCAAGATTTGGCCACTGGGTGTGCTCATTGCTACTGAGGTGTCTTACTTCTAGATTCTCTCGGTGGCAGAACTAGGAAATAGATGTATGTATATCAGCCCTTGTCACACACGTACCTATGATAGTTCTGTATCTACATTTGTTTCTGCAGTAAAACTTTTCTTTTGAGCATTTATATTTTTCTGTGTAGCCAGCAATGAAATGTGATTCACAGCCCACTATCACCAATGGTAATGTTTAAAAAAAAAAAAAAAGAAGAAAGTTAAAATGGAGATGTTGGCATATATATGGCTTAAGAACTGAGCCATCTTTTAGTTGTATCATGTCATTTTAGAGATGAAAAGATCCTGAGAAGTTTATTGGGATCCTACGAGGTTAAGGAGCTGCTTAGTGGTACAGTCAGGTTTGGAATCTGGGTGTTTGAAATGGAGTCTTTTTATTTCCACCATATCTCATGGCTCTTTAAGACTGATCAGTATTCTTCACTTTGTATTCAACTCAATAATTAGCTTTTGGGAATGCTTTAAGCAGATTAGAATGTAATTTTATAAATTGATGTGCACAGGTATTACCTAGCTAACAAACATCTGCTAGAGTGTTATTAATGAGGTAGTTGGTTCTCCAGCAATATATCTTAGATCAACAATTTGAAAATTATGCTCTTATGGCCAGATGTTAGTGAGTGAACCTTTTCAAATGATTATGATGATGATTCTACCTTGTTTTACTTTTTATAACTATCTTTTAAAAAAATCCTTTTGCTCTGGGAAGAGAATCATAGGGCTCCTATAGGATAGATACTTGATGCATATACCTGCTTTTTAGAAATGAGATATAATGAAGCAATGAAGGAATCTGCTTAATGTTATCCAAAATGTTGGTGATAGGGTAAAAAGGAAAAATGAAAGCTATAGCCCCCACAGCCCCACTTCTAACAGGCCAGCCACACAGCTCCTATATTTCAAATTGCTCTTGGCAGCTTGTAAAGCAGAAAATACTTGAATGCTTGTCTCCAGAGACTCCTGAGGTTATAGGACAGTCCTAGGATGCCTTCAAATGTTCTAGCCATTTCCTTTGAGAAGTGGGTTTGTTTACACTGGGTAAATCATGTCTTGTCACCATGTAACACTAAAATCATCCTGTTCTTTTCCATCTGTACCTATTCATTCCAGAGACTTATCATTTTGTTTTTGTTTGGTGCATTGTGAACATCCAAGATTTTTAGTGGAAATGAATGGTAACAGCTGTTTTTCGTGTACCAAATAATATAATTGTAAACCTTAACCTTGAGATGATATGTCCAAATTTTTCCAGGTGTGGAAATGACTTGACTAGAAAACTTCGGTTTGGGGTAGTTATCCCAATACAGAATCACATTCATCTGCTTGCCATCAACTTCATTCAAAGAGAGAGCATTTCTGTAGGTTATTTTTTAATTCCAACACTCCCTTCTTAACCTGGCCTTTCCTCTTTAATATAGTGTATTTTCATACACATAAACATACACATACCCTAATGTCCCATCTTCCTTCTTTCCCACTTTATTCTTCTCCGTAGCTCTCACCACCATCTAATATACTATATATTTTACTTCTTTAGCTTCTTAATTGTCTGTTTCACCCAAATAGAATGTAAGCTCTATGAGAGCAAGGGATTTGTTTCATTGACTGCTATATCCCTAGACCCAGTATAATACCTGGAACACAGTAGATACTCAATGAACCCTTCTGAATGAATGACATGGAAGTTTCAAGTTGTGATCATTTGGCCCCTGATTTTAATATAAATTCAAATAGTTGAGTTTTATTTTATAGGATTATTTTATATTAAAAGTGAAATAAAGCACATTATTTAAAATGGGGATTTACCTATTCACCAAAAATCTCATAATTTGTATGAAACATGGTATAGCAATTTAGAAGTTATGCGGTTACTCCAGAAATGCCATGCTGTTATCACATGCAAGGAATTTTGAAATTCTCTGCTAAATATCACTCATGAAATTAGTGGAAGAGCTAAAAGGAAAAAAATGTTTTAAGTTATAAAGTGAATTACCTTCAGATTTACCCAAAGATATCTTGAACCCTAAGTGACATTGCCCAGTTTGATCCCTTATTCTATTCACCAGGTTTAGCAGAAAATGACTGTTCCTTGTTACAAAAAAAAAATCCTATGATCAATAATCGTACTACTGGGTATTTACCCAAAGAATACAAAAACACTAATTTGAAAGGATATATGTACCCTTATGTTTATTGCAGCATTATTTACAATAGCCAAATTGTAGGAGCAGCCCAAGTGTCCATCAATAGATGAATGGATAAAGAAGTGGTATGTCAGGGCACCTGGATGGCTCAGTGGGTTAAACATCCGCCTTAGGCTCAGGTCATGATCCTGGAGTCCCGGATCAAGCCCCACATCGGGCTCCCTGCTCAGTGGGGAATCTGCTTCTCCCTCTGCCCCTCACCCTACTCTTGTACTTTCTCTCTCTCTCTCAAATAAATAAATAAAATCTTAAAAAAAAAAGAAGTGGTATGTATATACAAGGGAATATTACTCAGCCATGAAAAAGAATCAAATCTTGCCATTTGCAACAACATGGATGGATCTAGAGAGTATAATGGTAAGTGAAATAAATCAGTCAGAGAAAGACAAATACCATATGATTTTACTCATATGTGGAATTTAAGAAACAAAACAAGTGAACAAAGAAAAAAAGGAGACAAACCAAAAAACAGACACTTTACTATAGAGAACAGATGGTTACCAGAGGGGAAGGGGGTGGAGGGAGGGGTGAAATAGGTGATGGGGATTAAGAGTACATTTACCATGATGAGCACTGAGTACTGTATAGAATTGTTGAATCACTATATTGTACACCTGAAACTAATATAACACTGTATGTTAACTATACTGGAATTAGAATTTTAAAAATTTAAGAAATAAATAAAAATAAAAATAAACTTTGATTTTGGAATAAAAAAATCTATTCTGACTAATATTTGCCAATATAGAGAATATTAAAAAGAATATACTGTAAAATTCGAGGTGATTCCTCTAAAAGAATATCAGCATTCGTTTGGATATATAGATGCTGACATGTTTTTATTTTTAATCGTATTGCTTTAAAAATACATTTTTTAATTTAAAATTTCTGGTATCTGAAGTACTTAGCACTTATAAAACTAGTGGACTCTTACTTGTATAAGTTATACGTAAGATAATATAAAAGGGCTTGCAACTTTACTAGCTATGTTATAAACTAGATCATACCAATCAATCTAATGCCAATTTCTTGCAGCATTCTCTCTAGGACAAGAAACAGACAAATAAAAAGCAATCTAGTCATGAACATCACAAACTTGTTTGCAAGCCATCTTTGGACTGATACTGTGTATTAATTACGTCTTTGTATAAGAATGACTATTTTCTTATTACCACCTTTTATTTCAGAGCATTGGGGAGTCAACAATGTCTGTTGTGTTAAATCAGCTGCTGCCCATGATTAAGCCTTTGGACCAGAGGACCAATGATGACTACAGCCCTGAAGAGCTGTTGATCCTCCTGATATATATTTATTCTGTCAGTGGAGAGTTCACAGTGGACAAAAACCTGGGGGAAGCTGAAGAAAAAGTGAAGAAAGCACTGGCTCAGGTCTTTTGTGAAGAGTCTGAATTGTCACCTTTGCTACAAAAAATCACAGGTGAGTGTTTAATAAAAAATATAGGACATATACATCACTGATATAGAAAAGGGTTTAAAAATAAAGGCATTTTAGAAAGAGGTGAAACCACCTTCATTGGAGTTGTTTGGAATTTTATGAGGCCTGATGAATACTAGCCAGCATTTAGGATTAGAGGTTTTCATTGCAATATTTTTTTTCCAGCTATAGTGAAATTATCTTCTAATTGCCCATCACAGCTCCTATTTCTAGAGCCTTGTTAAAATAGCAAAATTTTCACAGGGTGTAATATCTTTAAGAAAAAATAAGATGTGCAGCCTATTCAAAGGGTTTCTGTTGACATAGTTTCTTTGAGATTGTCATTTCAAACTTAAACACACAAACACAAAAAAAAAAACTGTTTCCCTAAAATGTTATGCAATGTCATAAAATTGAAAATTGCAATTTTTAAGAGTACTTTTATACTTTTTACTTCTCATATTTCATTTTGAATCTGAATTAATTGGTAGTATCCCAGATAATATCCGAATATCTCAGTAAAGGAGGCTATGCTGATTCGGGAAAGATATATCATACACTCTAACCATTTTTACTTTTAGTAAGAACTGTGATGTAACTCATAGAGACATTCATTTGTGTTTTTCTTATCAAACTCAGTATTATTTCTATTTTGCGCAAAGCTTATTTCCATTAGTATGGATGGAGCCTGGGTCTGTTTACGAGTGGAAATTGTTAAAGCTTACACACAAAACTTAAATAGTCTAAAAACATACGTAGCTTCCATTCATTCATGAGTGTGTGTGTGTGTGTGTTTGTGTGTGTAGGTGTGTGCAAACCTCTCCATTCAGGAAGGCTCCACTGAGGCACATTATGTATTTCCCAGCTCCTCCTCCTGTTGCCTGTCGCACCTCACTGAGGGGAGCGTCCAAGACCGCTCCCAAAGAGGCTGTGTAGCTGTCCACCGAAGTGCCCCATGCATGGTGCTGGCCTTCGTGCCCACGGCTGACCTTTTCTTTGTCTGGCTATGGAAAATGAAACCCTGACGAGATGGAAACAGAAGTTTCCACAAAAATGAAACATTTCCTTGCTTAGTATAGAACCTCTTTGCCAACTTAAAATCTACTTAAGGAAAACTTGTGGAATTTGCTCCCATTTCATTAAGTTACGGCTCTCTATGCGACTACGTGTTTGTTTGGCTATAAATGAATATTGACTTAGAAAGGTTTAATATGGTTTATACAGTGCTCTGAACAGTAATTTGATTCAAAGTAAATTTGAATGCCAAGAGAATTTAATTGGGAGTTATTCTTAAAATGCATAATTTCAGAAACAGACAACAAAGATGGTTTGTTTTAGCTGAGGTTCTTTGGATGGCTTTTCTGTAACATTAGTATGTTGCTGTATTATTTTGGGAATTGAAGTCATGCTGGAAGAGTATTCGTTTAATACTCAAGGTGTTTATTGACCCAGCATTTCACTCTTTACTACTTTCTCTATTTATGATTGCTTAGGATATTGCATTCTCTTGCTTTTAAATGTGACTTTACATTTAAAAACACTTCTGTACATTCATGTTTATATCAAGAAATAGTAAGTTTAGCAAATGAAGCTTAAAAATAAGAATTTGTAGAAATTTTAGTATATTTAAAAATTTTAGAGACATTTTGTAATATGAAGTATACATTCCTACCTCGGTAAACTTTGGATGTACAGTTTAAGCAGGGTGGGTAAGATGCACTACTTAAATTTGGCATAGGTGAACTTACTAGTGGGATACATGTGCATCATTCCACCTCTATGGACACCAAAAGGACTTTATTTCTGAAGATAGACTTTTACTTGGCCATAGACATACCCCTATTAAGTATCTTGGAAATTCAAATGTTCTGAGAAGTAGGGTTTATGTTTACAATTAGCTGCTGAGGCAACTGTTTACATCTCAGGAAAAAAGCACTAGGATGGTGTGGAGGTAGCAGTGACTCAATCTTGTAGAACAAGGTGGGATGTTCCATTATATATTGAAAGAATAGAATCATCTTCCAAATTGCCTTCCAAATGCTTGGGCAATTGTGGAACTAGGTTAAGCTGGCTTTACCATGAACTTGCGCACAGTGTTGGGTTTATGTTATTTCAGTTTATAGTCTTGGCTTACTTGTTACTGGGTGGCAGAATTTCTTTTATGGCCTGTGCACATTTTGGGGTTGCTGAAATTTGGTTTAAAACTATTATTGAAAGCAAGCAATTAATCAGTAAAACTCCACTTTTTATATTATAATTTTATTAATCTTAATGTTAATAGAATCAAGAAAATAATACTTTTTCTGTACTGAAAACTCAAGCATGTGATCATCACCTAAAAGTGAAAGGATCAGAATTTGAACCCAGGTGTTCTGGATCTGGAGCCCAGGTCTTTAAACAAGAGATTCTAAACCTGCTACCAGCTCACTTCCATAACCATTGCATTTATTATATTTTGTAACTGAGGATTGCTTAAACTTACTGTTTTATGCCATGCATGCTCAGCCATTCCATCATGTTCTTATTTTACAAACAGTGAATTAATATTTGGTTAGTATTGTAGATATCGCCTGTTCTTTTTACTCTGTCTGTAATAGCTACTTATAGATGTTTCCTCATGCCTTCCTATTTTCATGCATGTATTCTCTTTGTTTCTGCATTGCTATTAAGAAATTAAAATATTATTTCTAGTCATTGAAATCTATTGGTTGTCTAGCTTTCTAAAATAGGAGTGGCAAACTTAAATTCTTTTTATTTCAGTGATATCTCTTGACAATAATTGCCCTGTGTTTAAAATTCATATTTCCTTTTTATATGTTGAATATGTAATTTACTTTTGACGTTTTCTTTCATTTCTCCCTATTCTTCCCTTTTATAGAAAGCACAATGAGAAACTGTAATTGGCAAAACATACAAAAACTTAAGCATGGTCAATGGCAGCATACTATTTTCCTTTTGATAGCTACTTTTAGGGAGAATGGCAGGCAAAAACTCTCTTTTCTACTCACACAAAATAACAAGGGCTGGCTCCCTGAGTGTCAGGGATAGGAATTGTAAAAAGTAAATTGGTATGGCCTGAAAATGTCATTTACTGTGCCTTCTCAGTCTTGCTAAGTTCAAAGAGATTATCAGTTTCTGTGTATGTTAGTGTTTGCCTAGCAGTCACAAGAGAAAACAAAGGAAAACCATTTGAACTTTCTTCAGAGAATGAAGTCAAAATTCTGATTTTAAAGATCTGTGTAAACTTGGAATGTCATCATACAGGGAGGTGTATCAGATAAAGCATAGAGCTTAGATATAAAAATCCTTGATTCAAAAGTCCTGGCTCTGTCATTTCCTAGTGGTGTGTGTTAGTCATCCTATCATCCATCTTTGAACCTTGACAATAAACATAAGTGCTATATTGATGACCACTCAGTGATTTTACTAAAAATAAAATGATGTTATATGGAGCTAACATATAACAAATAATGTTATATGTGAGCTAATTTCCAGTCCATACACACTGTAAATAAGTAATCATCTCCTATGTCTGTTGTTATTTTGGTAGCCCTTAGCTGTCATGTAGGGCAGTACTTCCCAACCTTAATCACATTGTGACACACACAGACAACGAGTATGCTTGCATGGTGTACTCAGGTAAGTGGACAGAACTTTTTGGTCAGAAGCAATCAGCCCTGGGGCTTTGGCCAGTCCAAACTCTACCTAACTAACCTGTGAGCCGAAGTGAAACAGCTCCGCACACATGTAACCTATTAGGAGCAAATCAGTACTCAAAGGGTATGTTGGTCAGAAGGTTCTGGAACCAGAAAAAAAGGAAAACAAAACTTGCGTATAGTTTTTGACACCCAAAACTATTTTGGAAAAATTTCTTTTTGGTAAACAACTTTTATGTTGCTTATTGATTTATGTCCCTGGATTTTTATACTGTCTTGAAAGGTCAATAGGGGCTAGATCTGTTGAGTTTAGTGGAAAGCTAGGGAATGAGTGATTCAAAGTATCTAAAAAAAAATCTGTAGTTCAAGATAGAGGCATAGTGATACCATGGAAACTGTATTTATATTTATTACACTCTTATTCTTCTTCCTGTTGATAATTTGGGGTTATCACTTATTGTACCATTGTATAAGGATTACACCTGGATATATATAGTGGGAAATTTACCAGATTAGCTTAACAAATAGGGATTTATATTTTCTCAGCAGGAAGTTCAGAGACAGGCAGCAGAACTCATGTTCTTTATGGCTTTCTTTCTTTCTTTCTTTCTTTCTTTCTTTCTTTCTTTCTTTCTGGGTGGTCATCATGGTCATGAGGTCGTCACTCCTCCTTGACTTAGTATGTCCATGCTTCAGGCAATAAAGGAAGACGGTTGAAAGTAAGAGGCATATATTAACAGAGGCTGCCCTTTTTCATATTAAGGAACACAATAACATTTCTCCTGTCCTACTTGTATCATTGGCTAGAACTGGGTTTCATGATCACCTCTGGCTCCTAGAGTATTTTTAACTGGGCATCTATTTGTCATGACCAAAGTCAGAGTTCTGTTAGAAGAAAGAAGGTGAGAATGGACAGTAAGTAAAAAACTTGTATTTGCTGCAGTTATCATTTTAGGCTTCCCTGATAGGGAAAATTGTAAGGGAAGATAATATACTGTGAGGTAGAGTGATGCCCATGGTACGTTAATCCACAGTTATAATATTGACGTTTCTTTTATAGTATATACTGAAATAATGTGCTATTGTGTGCTAGTATCACTGGACTTACATCACAAATATTTTCAACCTATCAATATTTGTTGAATATGTCTACATACCTGGCATTATTCCAAGCTCTTGAAGCATAGAACCCCTGGGGGGCAGTGGTAGTGAAATGTAAAGGTTCTCAGCACAGGATTAGGAGTTGTGTGCCTGGGTTTTAGTTCTGACTCTGAATCTTAGTAATTGTGCCATCTTGAGTCAGTCATTTAACTTCACTGATGCTCAGTTTCCTCATAAATCAAGTGG